TCCTTCCAGGAAGGACCAAAAATGATTTTAAAGGTGACAGAATTGTAGAGCGCATCGAGCTCTATCGAATGATGTGTGTTTCAAAAGAATCTATCATCTGCTCGAACTTTGAATTACGTGCACCTTATCATATATGAGTGTTCCTGGATGGTTTTTAAATAAAGTTTTTCAATTCACTTTATTCTTACTTAAGACGTTCTCATTTTCCTGACGGTATCTTGAGTTCATTAAATTAAATGCTGCATAATTCGAGTAAAATCTATGTTTTCAAATTTTTCTTTTAGTCAAGAGATAGAGGAATATCTGGAGAATACGAAAAGACTTTTGCGTGCAAATTACACGGACTAACCATAATTACTCCATGAAAAATAGCTGAATGACCATAATTAGCCTAAGTGACTATTTTTCGAAAAACACACATTCTCTTAATTTCTAATTAATTAATTAATTAATGGTAAGCTGAAATAGTATGCAATTCATCCAGGTGGCAGAGCTTGAAATTCTCCACAAGATGATATAATTTTGACTTATTTTTCTTAAAATGTCGCGTTGAAACTAAGTTGTTTAAGAGTATCGCAGCCATTTTTGCTGTATTGACCATAATTACCCCAATGGTACACGTTGACTGACCATAATTACCCCAACTGGGGTCAATCGAAAGGTGCTCTCTAGAAATTGATTAGTATTAATTAACGTTAATGAATTTTAAGAAAATTTTTACATCAATCAATAGCCAGGAGTTATCACTATTTACCTGTAAAATATCGCTTTTCCCGGATAAAAATTCAGCAAACGATAGCAGACATACGGTTTTGGAAAATATTGTTCCGTTATTGAGAAAATAAGTTTTTTTGAAACAGATAGCAAAAAAACAAGGAAATTCACTTGTATTTTGCAGTTTTCTCCATCAAACTTCCATTTTTTGCAAAATTAATGTCATATGTGGGATCAGTATCAAAAATCGAATTGATTGATGGGTGTTTCAGGATTTTCGGAGAACTTTGATTTTTTCGCAAAAAATTACAATTGAAAAGTTCGAAAATTCTGAAACACACATTTTGAAATCAAAATGTTTATTATCCTTCTAGTCTGAGATAAACAAAAGGCAAAACAATATGTCAGCAAACTTTTGTTACGCCCCGTAGTGGATTTAGAGAGGGAGAGAAAGGTTGACGGTACTGGCGGCCGTAAGCACTGAAAATTTGGACGTCATAGTATCTTGCTCACAGAAACTCATCAGTTCCACATGCGAAGTTTTCTGTGCTGTACTTTTTCAATTCCACTAGCATCGAAAAGTTTTTCTCAATCCGCCACTGGGTACGTCTGATATAGCTAGTAAAATACAAGAGAAGTGACCAAATGAGTTACCAATTTGTAATTTATATTTTTCTTTAGACGAATTATTCATCAAAAATTTCTACCAACAATACAGATTAATTATATTTTAAGAATATGGTTGTTTTATGGTCATCTCGATTAACATATGCGTCGATCATCATATTAAATTTATCAACATGGATCGCTCTTCAAGGAGTGTGGATGGAATTTCCATTGATAATTCCTCTTGTACCCGAAGGTTGGTCGTTACCAGCTCTCATGTCACTTGTTTCATGTTTGGCAAATATATCACCATTAATGATCATTATTATGCGACGTATTCAAGGAAGTCAACGATTCTCAGAAATACCTTATATTTATGCACTTACAATAACCGGAATTCTTTCTTGTATAATAATTGGATTATTTTGGAATAAAACAATTTTTATATTTAATCAAAAACGTAGTGTCATACTAATAATTGCCACATTTTTTCTCTCAATTCCAGATTGTTCATCGAGTCTAATATATTTTGACTTTATGAAACGTTTTCGTCCTAAATATTTGAATGCCATGTTTATTGGAGAAAGTTTAATATGTTTTATTCCAAGTCTCATAGCAATTGCGCAAGGTATTGGTAGTGAAGTAGCATGTCATGGACAAGAACCATCGTTTTCTCAGCCAAGATTTAGTGTTAAAATTTATTTTTTCATATTAGCTGGAGTTATTACATGTTCATTAATCTCATTCATTCTTCTTCGATGGACATCAATTGCTGAAATTGGTAATGCTCTTGAAAAGGTTAGACTAACTCAAAAAAAAAAAATTTCGCTGTCTCGAAGAATTATAATAAGAATTTTTATCTACGTATGATTTAGAGAAATGAAACAACGATAATAGATCAAGAACAAGATCAAGATTCGAAACAAGCTTGTTTAGAAGAAACGATGACAACTGTAATACAAAGAGATAATAAATTGTCAAGAAGAACCTTTTATTTACTATTGATCATATCTGTAATTAATTCATTCATTGTTTATGGATGTTTACCATCGCTTATCACTTATTCTCTACTACCTTATGGTCAACGTGTATTTTATTATTGTTCACTGCTGGCACCAATGGCGTATCCTCTAGCTTGTTGTGTACATGCCGCAATTAAACTCAAATTAATATCATTGATTATCTCCTCAGTAATTAATATTTTATGCAGTCTATTTGTCATATATATTGCATTTAATAGTCCATGTCCAATATTACATGATACAGTTAAAGGTGGCATATTAGTGACATTTATTTGGTGTATAATTATATTTATTGTCGGTTATGTTCGTATTAGAATTGGAAATATAATTAAAACATCATGGCCAAAACAAAATGGTCTATATATTTATGGACTCACAACTCAAATTGGTTATTGTCTAGGATCAATACCCTTATTTTTTATTATCAATGTATTTAAATTATTAAAAGATCGTGAACCATGCGTTAAATATTGTCACACTTGACTAATACTCAAATTTGTAAAGTAGCAAGAAAATAAATATGAATAGATGAAGTATATAAAATTATTGTAAAAATTCATTGTCTATTTAACTTTTTAACAAAGTGTAAAATTAAGAATGCACACTTTCAACTTTACACAGGATTAATCATTCGATTATAGATAATTTTCTTCCGCTATCTACTTTTTTGTAATTTAGTTTTTAATTCACATTGATGACTCGTCACAGATATTGTTTGTACGTTTTAAAATGTGAAAATTAGAAATTATTCAGATTAGCAATGTAAAATATTTCAAGGTGATTGTTCAAAATTCGGTGTTAGATATATGATTAGAAAGACCAGTTATATAGATGACACATATGTTTCTTCAAAAATAGTTGACGTATTTCACAGGAAACCTTATAATTAAACACAATTTTTCGAAAATTAGAAAATTGAAACCTAATTTGACTTTCCTTTTGACGAGAATATTTGATTGAAGAGCTCTTTTTTAATTATTCAGCTCATCTTCCAATGTAAGTACGTCCATTCCTACCGGGTAAGCCAAATGCAACATTCTTTATTTTGCATATATCTCACGAGGGAAGTACCCCAACTGATAAATCGCTTTTTCAACGAAAGCGAGTGGACTATAGGTAGTCGACGATGCTGATTCCGAATATCACCATAAATGCTGCTGCTAGGCCTTCAAAGACTCGTCGTCTGGAAAACCAGTTTTCGAGAAACTCTAAACAACAACCAAAAGCTTTCTTAATGAGGCGTAATTGTAGTCCGTAAATTTCTGATTAGAAGGAGGCATCTCCCAGCTCTACACGACCTTTCTTTGCAAAGTTAGAGTTTACAAGAAAAGCCCTGAATGTTTATTGTCACCTCAGAGCTACAGAAAGAAAAACGAAAAATGAATTTAGGGCTTTCTTGTAAACTCTAT